TTAATGGAGATCTAACAAAGCCTTGTGAGATACAAAAAGGAACAAGACAGGGATGCCCACTATCTCCTCTCTTGTTTATTTTGGTTCTCGAAATACTGAATAGAGATATAAGACAAGATGAGAGGATTGTGAGAGTAAAGGTTAAAAAAGAAACATATAAGTTAAGGGCTTTTGCAGGTGACTTGGTGTTGGTTTTGGAAGGTCCTTTAAAGGGAATTGAAACATTAATGGGAAAACTGAAAGAATTTGGTGCATTAGCAGGTTTTAAGATCAATAAAAGAAGGCAAAGATGTTAACAAAAAATATGAAAATATAAGATCAAATAGAATTGATGAATAAAACAGGCTTTAAGGTTGAGAAGAGAGTAAAGCACCTGGGCATCACTATGACAAATATGAATTATATGTTATTTCAAAATAATTATGTTAAGACATGAAATGAAGTTTAAAAAGATATGTTAGCTACAACTGTCATTGCTGGGGAGAATTTCTGTGATAAAAATGAATGTCCTAGAAGGATATATCTAAATTTGTGTGGCAGGGTAAAAAAACCATGAGTTAAATATAAGGTGTTACAAGATGGAAAGGAAAGAGGAGGATGGGGTTTGCCTGATTTGAAATTGCCTTTTGTGGCTTGCTGTTTGTTTTGGATGAAAGAGGGTGTTTCTGAGAAATAGAAGGCTTTTGGAGTTAGAAGGACGGGACCTGAGATTTGGGTGGCATGGATAATTGTGGTACGATAAACTCAAGGTTAACGTGGATTTTAAAAATCATTATGTTAGACGTGCCATACTGAGAGTATGGAATAGATACAAACCCAGGTTGTGCCTTCTGTGGCTCTCAGCATTTTATAGACGAGAACTAATAGGCAAACACAAATGGCTAACTTATCATGAGATACTGGAATTTTGTCAAGGGGAATACAAAATAAAATCAAGAGAACAACCGGTGGCAGAGGGACATAGTTGCCACTGGTTTTCGTATCTACAGAAAGAAGTTATTAGAAAGATTTAAAAGAGTTTATGGTTTTGAACAGCGGAAGACTAAGTTTGAAATAGAATTGTGTACAAATGATGAACATGTAATTGCTAAAATGTATAAACTTTTGTTGAAATTTGAAATTGAAGAAGAACAAGTGAAAGAATGTATGATAAAGTAGCTAAAATTTTGATTATAATATACAGATGGAACAATGAGAAAATACGTGGTTGAAAATATTGAAATTTACACTATGTTATAAACTTAAAGATAATTTTTTTCAAATGATGTACTGTTGGTATGTGACACCAGATAAATTGTCTACAATGGATAAAGGCACTGCAAATTCATGTTGGAAACATGAACAACAAGAAGGCACATTTTATTGTGCTTAGTGGACATGTAAAAATTTTGGATTCAAATACATACACTGATTCAGAGGATTTTAAAAATTAGTATACAACTGAGACCAGAAGTCTTTCTTTTGGGATTGATGGACAAACAGTTGGAAAAAAGTTACAGAACTTTTTTTTTGTATATGATAATTGCAGCATGATGCACAGAGATGGAAAGATTTGGCAATACCTACAATGGAGGAATGGTTGGTGAAGATCATGGAACTTGCTGAGATGGCCAAATTTACTTCTTTGATCAGAGAAAAGACACTATCTACATTTATTGCTGACTGGAAACCCATTATGAACTTTTCATATAAAACAGAAAAAAGCCAATTTGTGATTTATGGTTTTGATGTTTAGACAGGATAGATTATAGAAAGAAGAGAGCCATGTTGTAACTTTAGAGTAAAAGGTAAATTTATAATTGTACTAATAACTGCTATAAAGAAGATTAGAGGTCACTTCTTTGTATCTTTTTTTTTAATTTTCTGTTTTTCTTTTACTTTTTTTCCTTTCTTGCACTTTTAGCTTTCTCTTTGATTTTTTTCTTTTTCTTTTTTCTTTTTTACTTAATGTGAGTTTGTATTAGTTTTTAATGTTCTTTTTTAAAACTTTTAATTACATTATTTACAAAAAACATAGATAAGAGAAGATAGCCCCCTTTTACTATTGCTCCATGGCAGCTAACGTTCAAATAATGTTGCCTGTGATTTTGGAGATAAGAATCAGCCATCAAGATTAGTAGCCATTGATCATCTTTTCCTCCATGAGTCTAATTTCTTCAATGTTATTTTCAGTTGGAAAGATATGCTAAAGCCACATACATAGATACTGTACATATATTTGTTCTAGCTTGCAAACTCTGTCCTAGACACTATTCTTAGGTAGAATGCTAGAAACTTTTTTTTCTAATATGCAAGGAGACATTAATTTCTGAGTAGCCACATGCCGAACTCCTTTGGAAGGAGAAAGGTGGGAAGGAATAGAGAGGAACATAGGCATCCTAGCTTGATTCTGAGCATAAATGCATCAGAAACCCCTCCAGTGATTAATAAATTATATTGCCCCTGCTCCCATTCATGGAAACTCCCTCTCAGTTCAATCTTTCCCACAGGGTTGCTATTGTAGGGGGTAAAAATGATCCCTAAGTGAGCCATCTTAGGTTCTGGAGGAAAGGCAGATATTTATGTCATAAACAAACAAATACTTTTTGGCCTCCCACACCAATTGTATTCATTCCAGGAAAGAAACAAGAAACACCAGAGTATTTTGCACCCACTTCTGTCCACTGCAAATTGGCATAGCAGTACTGGGTTTCCTTGCAGGGCTGGCATAACCCACTGCCTCAATCCCTGTCTTGCTTTTTGCAAGATGTATATAACAATGATCACCCTTAAAGATAAAAAAAGATGTCGATCAGAAATCTGACAAATTTGGGTCTTTGCTCCTATCTTTGGTTTCTGAGCTGCCATATTGCAACCCAATCACAGCTGCACCAAAGCCTTGATTTCAGATGGAAGGAAGGAAGGAAGGAAGGAAGGAAGGAAGGAAGGAAGGAAAGGCAGGCAGGCAGGCAGGCAGGGGGTTGTTTCTCAGGAAGTAACGATTACCAGGCAAGTTTTTTTTAAAACCTTCTCCAAACAGTCCATATATCATTGTAAGGCCTCTTCATTCATTGGCTAGAACACTGCAAGGTTCAAGCGCTGGATACTCATTTTGATTTTTCACTCATGGAAACACTAGAGAATAGTTTCCCCCACCCCTCTTCCTTTTCTTTCTCCTTCTTCTTTTTTCTATTACCATTCTGTAGATGATGATGATGATTGTGGTTATGATGATGATGATG